GGTACTAAGCTTTTGTCCGTCATATGACGGACATCATCAGAGCGAGGTAACATCGTCACAACAAATTTCAAGCTAACGAGCTAACGAGTTTTCTTGACTCGTCAGCTTGAATTTTGTTGTCACGATGTTACCTCGCTCTGATTATGTCCATCATATGACGGACGAAAGCTTAGTACCTTTTCACCGGAAACGAAGGAGATTGCCTCGGAAACAGCGTCAGCATGGATGCTCCAGTAAAGCCAATCGACAGCTGGACAAGAGGAATCCGCCGTCGTCTTCTGGTGGAACCGACCTTCGAATCTCTTCACGCAACACTTCTATTCGAAATGGAAGTAAGCTCAAAAATTATGAAACAAGAGATTCCTCGAAACCCAACTTTTCTTCGTATGCGCTGCTAAAGACATTGGGTGAAAAAATTAATAATTTTAGCGTTAACTAAAAATTGATATTATTTGGTCGTGTTTGCTCCTTGTTCACCAACTTACATAACAGCTTCTCATGACAAACCGTTGGTGTCTGAGATGTGCTTCTGGCTAAATGATACAAACTTCTGAGATTTGAGCAATTGGCTCATCAAATCTCTGAACATTTATGGAATTGAGCTAAAATAGGCATTAGGAACACATTTCCTCAACCGGATGATCGCATGCTTGTGTGTGTTTCTAGATTTCATTTCAGGCTGGTTTATGATTCCTACAAGAATCATGTGGTTGTTAAATGTGAGAACTGAATGTCTGAAGAGATTGGCCATTTTAGCAATGGCTTTAGTGAATCCTTAGGAAACACCAAATATTTGGGACTTATTTAAGCTCCGAATCTATGCATTGGTGTAGGTTGTTATGATTCACACAATCGCTATTGAGCTATTATTGCATGCTTGTAGGGTATATACGCTTTTGTGAGTATGTTCTGTACATGCCATCGGTTGGCTAAAGTTAAACTTAGAAAAATAACAAAAATAAACATTAAAAAGATATTGTGTTGATGGAGAAGGAACAATCTAAGCAACACCCGGTCCGAAGCTATCAATTAGCATGAATGCTCTGTCGCATGAGCTTGGACAAGATAGATTCATCTGAGTGGCCATGGCAACCTCTTATTGGTCTGCCTAACTCCGGTTAGCCTCCATCCGACAACTCATGTTTGCTTGTCCCTCTTCTTGGTCTTTGCAGGTGGACGGCCGACACGTCAGTCTGCCCTATTTGAAAGGTCCCCAAGAAGTGCGTGTCTACGACACTCCGGAGGGTCTACAGTTGATCTCGCCGTTCTGCGGTCTTTCTGTCTCGCAACTGGCGTTGCGCATCTCGCTCCACGGCGAGCACAGTTACGCGATAGTGAAACTGCATGAGCGCTATCATTTCGCGCGTCTGGACGGAGCCTGTGGCGTCTGTCGGGCTCATGTGGCCCGGTACGACGTGGACAGAATGAGCCGCGGCGCGTCGACGGGTCTGTTGAGTGGACAAAGTGGCGTCGGTGTCGTGGAGAAGGCGGGAACAACGCGTCCGAGGATCCAGTTCGTCTGGAGCGGCGGAGACGAGTGCAGAACTACGAGCGCAAGTCAGCTCACCTCCAACAGCAGCCTCTCGGCCATCTCGAAGACCTCCACCTCGGCCGACGAACGACTCAACTTTTGTCCGCCAGGCCTGAAACGTGCCTGCTATCGCTTGGATGCCTCGAACGGATTGAGTCCGTTCGCTCAATGTTCTGGCCAACTGTTGCACGCATTCCATTCACTCTGCCTGGCCGACGTCTGCGAAACCAACTCGGCCTGGAAGCATGGTCGTGAGGCGCACACATTGGCCTGCAGATCACATCTTCTCGCCGCCAAGGCCTGTTTGCATCAGGCCGGCACAAGCAGACGGCTGCTGACGGAATGGAGATCCATCGACTTTTGTCGTAAGTCACAGCGACGGTAGAGCAACGGACCCCTCCACTATCGGGTCAAGAAAGTGGCATATTGTAGGTCGTGGTGTTGGTTGAGGCTGAGAATTCCCCAAACGTTGTCAGAACATACTGAATAGGTGACATGATTGTCAATTTCTGGCGAAAAGTTTGTTGGAACAAAGTCATGGAAATCGTTATAGCAACTTCGTCTTGTTGTCAAGGCGACTTGGCCAGTAGTAGTCATCATAATTCCCAGCATCAGACTGTGGACTTGGTACATTCTCAGAAGTTTCCCAAACGGTCTCTTGCTGGGACTTATGGGGGCTACCATGACAACGTTCCAACTAAGTCGCCCTGACAACAAGACCAAGTTGCGACAACGAGGTCAACGCACTTCCATAAATCGAAATGGGGACTACGACCATACCAGAGGCTACACCATCTTGGAATTCATATCTTTAAACATAAAGAGTGTTTCAGCATGCTTTAACTTTGGAATTTTACCTGTCGTGTGGCCTTGCAATCGGTACATACGAGACTTAAAATCTGCTGTATAAGGACGAAAGTATAGTTAGTAAAACTAGGACCAAATGATTGGCGATACTTTTTTATCGGCTGCTTCCGATTTTGATTTTAATAAAAAGCCTTAAGATTAACTATAATTGATGATTGTTGAG